CAGCAGGCTTCTTTCTTATTCGGGGTGCCAGCTTCGTCTCTCCGAACCCCCTCTCCCCTGTCTGTCTGCCCCTCTCTCTCGGTCTCCCTGTCTGTGTTTCGTCAGCTTGTTGAGGATGGCCTCATTTTTGCCGTATGTACCTGGCTGTATATGGACCGGCACTGCCCAGTTGCAAGTGTTGATGTTTATTGAAATTGTTCCGCGCCCACTCTCCTATAGTGGTCCGTTATTCTGGTGTTGCTGTCGATTGCTGCTGCTGTGGCGACTCAAGCAACTGTTGCAGGTTTGCAGCGCAGTGCTACAATAACTGCAGACAAACTGGCACTAAGAAGTTCCTGAGGAAACACTCAACCGATCTTCAACGCTATCGCCGCTGTCGCACGTGTGGTCGTTATCGTTATAAACAGTGCTGTGTTGATCGCCCGGGATGCTTTGAGCACCTGGCGAGAGCAGCCTCCGAGTTGTTGCCTTTGGGGCTTCTCGGTAGCAGTGGTAGTCGCCAGCGCTGGCTGCGCCACAAGTGCTCCGAAATTCCTGGTGCTCAGCTGGTCACATTCGCGAAGCTTCAGCTGCTTTTTATTACTGTCTCATCGGTAGGGATCCTTGCTGCACTGGATGCCGCTTGTGCTGCTGCTGTTGCTGCTGCTCACTGTAGCTTCCACGTTGCTGCTTCTACTGGTCGACAGTGAGCACACCGCTCCGGTGGCGCAAAATCCGTCGCCAGCAACATTCTCAACTCTCGTGGCGCGACTGGAACGGGTCGACGATCAAAACTGTGAAACCGTTCTGGCACTGCCAAATCTGCACCGCCTGTTGGAGCACGAACTGAATAGGAGCAACCCGCAACTTCTCCTTCTGGCTCAGCTGATCGCCCAGCATCCGCATCTTCATCCACTTCATCTTCCCGCCAATGCCTCGCTAACTCTGGATTCTCCACTCTCCTATAACCTCTCTGCGCCGCTCTATGTGCTGCAGTTGCACTGTCATTTCAATGGTCTGCAGTCGGCGCAGCAGTGGATCCCGATCTTGATTTACCCCACTGCTGCATCGGAATCTTACTTGATCATTCGTGTACAACCATTTGACCTCAATGCATGCACGCTGCCGCACTGCGTCACTTCAAAGGTGAGCTTCTCTCAGCTTCGAGCAATGCCTCTTGTCGAGCTACACTGTTTGTTGCTAAAAACCCAGGCTGGAACGCACCAGGCTTGCCGATGCGATCATGCATTTTTGCACTAAATTAGCAGGAGCTGTTAGCAGGAATAATCACTGCGCTGCAGTCAAACACTTGGGCTCATATTGGCCGTGCTCTGGCCCCTTCCGGCGTGCAGCAGAATGGGCATCGGTTGGGATGAGGGTGTTGCATTATAGAGCCGCATGAACCTCCAGTTACATGATTACCAGTTCTTCGCATGAAGTTCGGTCGTTTTTTATGCGTTTTTGCCTATATGCAAATTGCAAAAACGCATATTGGGACGACCCTGTC